CAGTGGCAGACAACATGAGGTAGCAGTGGCAGACAACATGAAGCAGCAGTGGCAGACAACATGAGGTAGCAGTGGCAGACAACATGAGGTAGCAGTGGCAGACAACATGAGGTAGCAGTGGCAGACAACATGAGGTAGCAGTGGCAGACAACATGAAGCAGCAGTGGCAACAACATGAAGCGCAGTGGCAGACAACATGAGGAAACAGTGGCAGACAACATGAGGTAGCAGTGGCAGACAACATGAAGCAGCAGTGGCAGACAACATGAGGTAGCAGTGGCAGACAACATGAGGGAAACAGTGGCAGACAACATGAAGCAGCAGTGGCAGAAAAACATGAGGTAGCAGTGGCAGACAACATGAGGTAGCAGTGGCAGACAACATGAGGGAGCAGTGGCAGACAACATGAGGTAGCAGTGGCAGACAACATGAGGGTAGCAGTGGCAGACAACATGAAGCAGCAGTGGCAGACAACATGAGGTACAGTGGCAGACAACATGAGTAGCAGTGGCAGACAACATGAAGCAGCATGGCAGACAAAATGAGGTAGCAGTGGCAGACAACTGAGGTAGCAGTGGCAGACAACATGAGGTAGCAGTGGCAGACAACATGAGTAGCAGTGGCAGACAACATGAAAGGGAGCAGTGGCAACAACATGAAACAGCAGTGGCAGACAACATGAGGTAGCATGGCAGAAAAAACATGAGGTAGCATGGCAGACAACATGAGGTAGCAGTGGCAGACAACATGAAGCAGCAGTGGCAGACAACATGAGGTAGCAGTGGCAGACAACATGAGGTAGCAGTGGCAGACAACATGAAGCAGCAGTGGCAGACAACATGAGGTAGCAGTGGCAGACAACATGAGGTAGCAGTGGCAGACAACATGAGGTAGCAGTGGCAGACAACATGAGGTAGCAGTGGCAGACAACATGAGGTAGCAGTGGCAGACAACATGAAGCAGCAGTGGCAGACAACATGAGGTAGCAGTGGCAGACAACATGAGGTAGCAGTGGCAGAAACCAAGAGGTACAGTGGCAGACAACATGAAGCAGCAGTGGGAGACAACATGAGTAGCAGTGGCAGACAACATGAGGTAGCAGTGGCAGACAACATGAAGCAGCAGTGGCAGACAACATGAGGTAGCAGTGGCAGACAACATGAGGTAGCAGTGGCAGACAAACATGAGGTAGCATGGCAGACAACAAAGAGGTAGCAGTGGCAACAACCTGAGGTAGCAGGGCAGACAACATGAAGCAGCAGTGGCAGACAACATGAAGCAGCAGGGGGCAGACAACATGAGGAGCAGTGGGAGACAACATGAAGCAGCAGTGGGAGACAACATGAGGTAGCATGGCAGACAACAATGAAGCAGCAGTGGGAGACAACATGAGGTAGCAGTGCAGACACATGAGGTAGCAGTGGCAGAACATTAGGGTACAGTGGCAACAACATGAAGCAGCAGTGGCAGACAACATGAGGTAGCAGTGGCAGACAACATGGAAGCAGCATGACAAAGTGTAGCATTTAAGAGTGTAGCCATTAAGTGAAGCATTAAGAGTGTAGCACTTATAAGTCACTCTGTCTAACTTTTTTGGGTTATCCTAGGTTCTCTACACATGTAGTAAGGAGTAGGAATGGCCGCTGTGGTGGCCCTATAAACCCTAACAACAACAATGGCTGCTGTCACCACCACTAGCCACATACCTAATGACATGTATTTTATTCATTCTAGTGTATATATCATGTTTCTATGTTATTAATATTGTTTATTATGTCATATTACATGAATTGTGATAGATAAATAAGCTGTAGAGATGACATTAGGGAAATTATTTAAGTATTTTCTCGTGCCTGGAATTCCACTGGAACGAATTAATTCCATTTCAATTAATTTAAGTGAGGAAAATTGACTCTGCAAACAAGCAAATCCAGTTGCGAGCAAGGTCGTGGAATGGATTAAACTCATAAGTAGAGGTTCCACTGTACTACATTCTTTTAAGTCTAAAGTATCACATCCATTTTATGAGGTGCCTACCGAGTACAGTTAACTCTGGCAGACAAGTACGTGACTTTCTTAAGTAATTTAATGTGAGAGATATGGTTTGCTGAGTTGCTAATGCTTGGAAGTCTGTAGAGGCATCCACAATGAAAAACAGATGGCATAAATTGTGGCCAGGGTTAATGTTTAAGACTGCACCTGGTGAAGACATTGAAGATGACTTTACAGGATTTAAGGTTTTAACCCTTAAACTGTCCAAGCAGATCTACGTTCACATGCGTAGTGCTCCAAAAGTAGATCTACGTTTTTTACATATTTTCAAATATAACAACAAAAAAAAAAAAGTAGATCAATTTTTTTTACAAGTTTTCAAATTAAAAAAAAAAAAAAAAGATCTGTATTTTTACATACTTTCAAATGTTGAAAGAACGTAGATCTACGTTTGGACAGTTTAAGGGTTAAAGGAAAACGAGATTATACATGATCTGCTTTCTTTTGCTCATGATCTGATTAATCCTACTGCAGAGGATCTTGCATCAAGGATGGATGAAGATAATGCTGGGAATGAATGAATGTAGATGAATAATGCAGCTACATTATACTGCCTCAGAAATTGTGCAGATGGTTTTAAGTCCACAGCAACAAGCCAGTGGAGGAGAAAGCAGTTATGAAAATGAGGAAGATGTAGCAGAAAGAGTCTACTGATAGTTTAATTCAGTTGACAGGTGAACTGCTAAAAGGTCTAGAGCAATGCAATTTTGTAGTGAACAAGAAACAATGAAAGCGTAAATGCTGCAGGATAAACCAATCAAAGGCAAAAAAATTTATGAAACAGCTCAGCTTGCAAGATATGTTCAAAAAATAGATAAAAAGCACTCAACAGAGAAGTCACCATTTGAAAATCTAGTGCCTTCAACATCCACTCGCCCAGATGTGCTGCCACCATCATCAATTCCCAATGTCTCAGTCGCCTTCCAAGATGAAGATGGCAATCCTAACAGCCCTTCACCTCAAGACGTGTAAATGTGCTTAGATGTAAATTTCAGCTCTTCACTTTGGAAGTGGCAGTGATGAACTTTGTGTAAGTCAAGTTGTTAACTTTATTAATCAACTTGTACTGATTTACTTGTACTGTACAAACAGTGAGATTCAGTGTCTGGATTCATGTAGACTTCTAGGAAAGTAACCTTGTCCCTCCATGAAGAGTAATACACAAATAACCTGCACTTATTAGACTGATGCTCATGATGTTTACGTTAAACTTGGACCATTAACCCTTTGACTGTCGAAGGGCCCAATCCTGAAGTTGCTCCTGGTGTCGCAAAATATTCGAAAAAAAAAAAATTATTTTTTCTTATGAAATGATAGAGAATCTTTTCCCGATTGTAAAGACACCAAAAAAACGAAATTTGATGGAAAACTGACGGAATTACGCTCTCGCGAAGTTAGCGACTTCGGCGATATTTAAAAATCGGCAATTTCGCCCACTTTGAGCCCTATTTTCGGCTAATTCCGTTATTCCAGTCAACCAAACTCATAACTATTTCTTCAGAACTCTATTTTTTCTATCGATTGAGCACAAGAAACTGCCCATTTACCGATTTCAACTACCCAATAACATGGTCAGAAATTTGCAATTTGGCCAATTTCACGAAAATTAAAAAATACGACAATTTCAAAATAAGGTCCAGAATGAACAATGCAGACATTCCTGGCTCTAAAATAAGATTTTCTTTGTTCATCAGTCATGTCTCCAGGTCCCTGTGATATTACTCTTGCTTTTTATTTTGAAATTTTATTCAAACAAAAAATAGAAGATTTACTGTTATGCAGACTACTGCAATACTGTAATAATTGTAAAAATTACATCAACCCATTCATGACTGCGTATTAGAAGGGCTATTTGGACATTTATTGGACAATGACATCATTTGTTTACTTTGAACATCGGCAAAAATCAAAATTTCCTGTACTTTGGCTCCATTTCCAGGTTCTTTTTATAGTAAAATTAATCAAAATCACCTCCATTTACTATAATATAGTTTCCATTCTATCAAATGAGACCATGAAAACGAGAATACAACCACAAATACTATACGAAAATAGACCACAAAGTCGGCATTTTAATTAAAAAAAACGGTCGGAGTTTTTTTTTCTCATTATGCACTGCGTGCTCCAGGATTTTTTTTATGTGGTACACACTGACCACACAGACCCATTCTCTCACATGTGGGCCTACTAGCTTTCTCCTGCCTGATTTGAAGCCGCTAGAATTTATGAGTATATATACGTCAAACACGGTACCTCACAAACGTATATATACGGCCGCGACAGTCAAAGGGTTAACAAGTCACAGAGAAGCGAGAAGGGAAGAGAACCAGAATACGAGAGAGGGGGCAGGGAAAGGGGGTGGTAAAATGGTAGAATGGATATTGTGACTTTTTCTTCTTTAATTTGTAAGGAGTATTGAGCTGTATATCCTGTTCCATCACATCACCATTTTCACCACTAACAGCGAGATATAGTTTCTCTCTTCCATTCTTTAGCTCAACTCCTGTTTTGTCTTGCCCTGACAAGTATGTTCCTGTTAAGTTTCAACACTAAGAAATTAACCAACAAGTCACATATAAGTATAGCCTCTCTTCACTCAACGACAGAGTTCTGTTCCCAAGACCACATCGGAAAACAAATTCATTGCTAAATGAGCAGCATACTATAATGGTAGTGGGTCTTTGTCAACCATCTTTGAAATTCTATTAATGTCACCTTCGCACCATTTATAAGATTTTTGGTATATTTTTAAATGTTTATACAGTAGTGTACTGTATATTGTAATAAACAGAATAAAGGAAATCAGCTCTAATATACATTATTTAGTATGCATACTGGATTGAGAGCCCGTTGTAAGCCCGAGTCGTCGGTAAAGGAGTATGTCGCTAATGAATACGTATAAAGGATGTACAGAAGTTGCAAAAATAAAATAATGCAGATAAACTTACCTTCAGGTGGCGTAGAGAAAGGCGGTGTTCCTCTAGAATCATTCTATTGTAACTGTTGCTGCAGCACCTCACCCTCGAGTACCGACTCACCAGCTGAAGAAACATGAGCACTTGTCAAAAAACATTCACAGTAGAAGTTCTATGCTTCTAGTTCTGCTTGAGCTACATAGAACATAAGTTGTTCTAACCATTTTTAGTTTATATACACCATGATAAGAAATCATATGAAGTATGCCGCACTGACCGTGTGCTCTGTCGTCTGGCAGTGCTGCCGGATGCTGCTGCTCATGTAACAATTACACTTCATGCATCGAGGATACCCAATTTTGCTCTTGGGCTTCTGCTTGCTTACCAACTATGACAGGGAGCAATGGGACTTGTTAAGTAGTAGCAGTGTGCACTAAAAAGACTTTCATAAAATATTTTACATACTGTATATCATAATATTTATAACAAATTACTGGCTCAGATTTTCTGACACAATAAATTAATTAAATTTGCCCTTCATAAATGCTACCATACACCATACTGTTTAGCTTCACAAAATAACATTCACAATTAAAACAGTAAAACTGAAATAGTAACATGAAAAATTAGACACGTGTGCAACATCTGCCCGAAATATTCAGGCATTAGCGTTAGTGACTTTCTTTGTACTTAGCGATATTTTACAACTTGTAAATCACACATTGTATATTATGAAATGAAATAAAAAATTGAATTTAATCTGGGTATATTTGTAGACGTTTTGCCATCCAGTGGCTATATCAATACAAATTTAAATGGTGCTCTTCACCAACTCCAAGGCTGAGGGACTGATTCCTTCATTTGTATACAGTTCTACAGTCTTCCCATTATGTCCCTGAATTTGTACTGATAAAGCCATTGGATGGTGAAGCATCTACAAATAGATACCCAGATGTTGCACATGTCTAATTCTTCATCTTGTGGGTACTGTATACCGTTCATGTACAAAAGTAACTACTTTGAATCGATTAGCATCAATGACGTCATTATGCGGATGTGAAGCCGGCATCATCTCGTGATTTGCACTTAATGACTCAGTATGACTGTCATTAAAATCAATTATTAAACATGCAACAACTAACTGCCTATTAACAGCTCTCTACTGAAAAGTTCTGCAACTCTAAAATCCTGAACAATTCCTGCAACACAAATCAGTGTATTTAACAAGAGCAATACTTAAACATAGCTACTAAATTGATAGACATTAATGTAATCTATGATGATGAAAAAAAAAATCAGTAGAAACCAGTTAGAACCATGGGTAAACCACAGTAACCATGTGAACCACAGTAGACCATGTTAACCACAGGTAGACCATGGTTATAAACCAAGGTAACAGTTAGAACCACAGTAGACCAGGGTTAAACCACAGTGACCCATGGTTAGAACCACGGTAGACCATGTTAGAACCACAGTAGACCATGGTAGAACCACAGGTGACCCATAATGAATCACAGTAGATCCATGGTTAAAACCACAGGTGGACCCATGGTTAAAACCACAGGTGGACCCATGGTTAAAATCACAGGTGGACCCATGGTTAAAACCACAGGTGGACCCATGGTTAGAACCACAGGTGGACCCATGGTTAGAACCACAGGTGGACCCATGGTTAGAACCACAGGTGGACCCATGGTTAGAACCACAGGTGGACCCATGGTTAGAACCACAGGTAGACCCATGGTTAGAACCACAGGTGGACCCATGGTTAGACCCACAGGTGGACCCATGGTTAGAACCACAGGTGGACCCATGGTTAGAACCACAGGTGGACCCATGGTTAGAACCACAGGTGGACCCATGGTTAGAACCACAGGTGACCCATGGTTAGAACCACAGGTAGACCCACAGCTAGAATCATGGTTAGTGCCATAGGTAGAGCCATGGGGTAGACCCATGGGTAGAACTACGGGTACAACCACAGGCCTCCAAGAAATGCAATCAAAGTAGCTATTCACTCTAAATTTTGAGGATGCCATTACAAAATGATAAACCGGCAAGCAAATGGAAAAAAAAAAACGTGTCAACATTTAATGAACGGTATGATGGAAGGTCCTTTCAACTAGAAGCCTGTCTCACTGAGAAGAAGCACTGTGATGTTATAAATCCCTTGCAAACTAAGCAATAAACATAATTATAGAAACCAATAAGAAAACTTTGGTAAATTGTGTAAAAGGTGAGGATGGATAGTAATGAAGTTTAATGAAGATATACAGTAGGGTCCCGTTTTATGGTGTTTTGCCTTACAGCATTCCGTTAATACGAACATTGCAAATTACAGTGGAACCCAGAGTTCTGTCCTTAATCCGTTCCAGGAGCTAGGACTAAAGTCGAAACATCCTAAAGTCGTAGCAATATTTCCCATGAGAATTAATGTAAATATAATTAATCTGGTCTAGGTAGTAGGTTGGTAGACAGCAACTGCTCAGGAAGGTACTACCGTCCTGCCAAGCGAGCGTAAAACTGAAGCCTGTAATTGTTTTACACGATCATAGAATTGCTGGTGTCTTTTTTTCTGTCTCATACACATGCAAGATTTCAGGTATGTCTTGCTACTTCTACTTACACTTAGGTCACACTACACATACATGTACAAGCATACATATATACACACCCCTTTGGGTTTTCTTCTATTTTCTTTCTAGTTCTTTTTTTATTTATTAACACACTGGCCGATTCCCACCAAGGCAGGGTGGCCCGAAAAAGAAAAACTTTCACCATCATTCACTCCATCACTGTCTTGCCAGAAGGGTGCTTTACACTACAGTTTTTAAACTGCAACATTAACACCCCTCCTTCAGAGTGCAGGCACTGTACTTCCCATCTCCAGGACTTGAGTCCGGCCTGCCGGTTTCCCTGAATCCCTTCATAAATGTTACTTTGCTCACACTCAAACAGCACGTCAAGTATTAAAAACCATTTGTCTCCATTCACTCCTATCAAACACGCTCACGCATGCCCGCTGGAAGTCCAAGCCCCTCGCACACAAAACCTCCTTTACCCCCTCCCTCCAACCTTTCCTAGGCCGACCCCTACCCCGCCTTCCTTCCACTACAGACTGATACACTCTTGAAGTCATTCTATTTCGCTCCATTCTCTCTACATGTCCGAACCACCTCAACAACCCTTCCTCAGCCCTCTGGACAACAGTTTTGGCAATCCCGCACCTCCTCCTAACTTCCAAACTACGAATTCTCTGCATTATATTCACACCATACATTGCCCTCAGACATGACATCTCCACTGCCTCCAGCCTTCTCCTCGCTGCAACATTCATCACCCATGCTTCACACCCATATAAGAGCGTTGGTAAAACTATACTCTCATACATTCCCCTCTTTGCCTCCAAGGACAAAGTTCTTTGTCTCCACAGACTCCTAAGTGCACCACTCGCCCTTTTCCCCTCATCAATTCTATGATTCACCTCATCTTTCATAGACCCATCCACTGACACGTCCACTCCCAAATGTTCTTGTTTATTTCCTCTTACCTCCATGGGAAAGTGGAACAGTATTCTTCCTCCGTAAGCCATGTGTGTTGTAAGAGGCGACTAAAATGCCGGGGGCAAGGGGCTAGTAACCCCTTCTCCTGTATATATTACTAAATGTGAAAGAAGAAACTTTCGCTTTTCCTTTTGGGCCACACCGCCTCGGTGGGATACGGCCGGTGTGTTGAAAGAAAGATAATCTGTGCTGAGCGCAAAGACAAAGCCGTCTCCCACACCATTCTCAGCCAGTGTAGTGTTGTTTCTCGGTGAGTAGACATATCCTGCCAGGTCTTACGAAACATTTCATAATAATCCATTGTTTTTGCCACTTGTTTGTGACTGCTAAATAAGCAACCACAGCCCCAAAGAAAGCTCCTAGTGGCAGTGCTTTGGTAAAGAAAGTGAGGAACACTGTACAAATGAAAAAAGAAATCCTAAGAAAATATGATAGTGGCATATGCAATGCTGAGCTCGGCAGGATGTACGGAAAGTCACCATCAACAATCAACTCTATTGTGGCAGAGAAAAGAAATCATGGAAGCTGATGTTGCGAAAGGGGTGAATGCGATAACCAAACAGAGATCCCAAACAACTGAGGAAGAAGAGAAATTGTTGTTGGTGTGGATCAGAGAGAAAGAGTTAGCAGGACACAGGTTGTGCAGTCTATTATTTGTGAAAAGGCAAGACAGTTGCATGACAACCTCATAAAGAAACTGCCTGAAACAAGTGCTGATGTAGGGGAATTTAAGGCCAGCAAAGGCTGGTTTGAAAAATTCAAGAAGCGAAATGACATACACAGTGTTGTAAGGCACGGCGAGGGTGCCAGTTCAGACAAACAAGCGGCTGAAAAATTTGTGGGGGATTTCATATCTTATGTACAGGCTGAAAAATTCCAACCCCAACAAGTGTTCAATTGTGATGAAACAGGCCTGTTTTGGAAGAAAATGCCAAAGAGGACCTACATTACACAGGATGGAAAAGGCACTCCCAGGACACAAGCCTATGAAAGACAGGCTACCTCTCTTGTTGTGTGGTAATGCTAGTGGTGATTTCAAAGTGAAGCCTTCACTGGTGTATCAATCTGAAAATCCCAGAGTGTTCAAGAAAAACAGTGTTGTTAAGAGTAAATTGTGTGTGATGTGGAAGGCTAACAGTAGGGCATGGGTCACTAGGGAAATTTTCCTGGAATGGTTCAATGAAGTGTTTGGCCCGAGTGTGAAGAAATACCTCCTGGATAATAAATTGCCACTCCAGTGCCTCCTGTTGATGGACAATGCTCCTGCTCATCCTCCAGACTTAGAAGACCAACTGTCTAAGGAATTCAGTTTTGTAACAGCAAAGTTCTTGCCTCCTAACACCACTCTTCTTCTCCAGCCCATAAACCAGCAGATCATTGCAAACTTCAAAAAATTGTGCATCAAAGCAATGTTTCAAAGGTACTTCGACATAGATATGGCTTGGCAGGGAGTGACTTCCAGGATGATGAACTCTGCTTAGGGAAAACTGTGGCCAGATTGTGTCCAAAAGAAGTATTTTAGGACTGACCCTGTTGACCCTACACCTGTCGTGTGATCAACTGTGGCATTGGGGAATTCCATGGGGTTGGATGTGAGTGGCCAGGACATGGAAGAGTTGGTGGAGGACCACAATGAAGAGCTAACCACTGATGAGCTGCAAGAGCTTCATCTGCAACACCAACAGACCACAGCTCAGGAAATTGCTTCAGAGGAGGAGGAAGAGAGATGGAAGGCACCCTCTTCAAAGATTAAGGAGATTTGTGCAATGTGGACTAAAGTGCATTCATTAGTGGAGGAACATCACCCTGAGAAAGCTGTTGCAATCCATGCTAGTGACTTTTACAATGACAATGCCACGTCT